CCTAGACAGTAGTCTGTAGGTGCTGTCTGTAGCTTATCTTTTAAAGTGGCTATATATATATACGAACATATATTGTGCCCTGCTGTTAAAAACCGTAATTAAAGTGTTTTATTGCTTTATGCGAGATGTACTACTGTCCATTTCATAAAATGCAAAGAAGTACATGTTAAAATAAAGCACAAACAACATTGCAAATTACTACGAGTTTCTCAATTTGCAGTTCCTAGTGTCAGGACACCAGGGTCCTTGAGAATAATCATCTAGTAACCTATTCCATACAGCAAAACCATCACAGGCAATCATTATAATAACACACAAAGCGCACACACCACCGCGTTCACATAAAGCTGCAATTCAAGTTCAGACAACCGGGTCGAAAGTAAAAACTTGTAATGCCTCCATGTAATTCGCGACATGAAATCTACCGTTTCATAGTCTATACGAATCTAGAACACAAAATAATTGTCTTAAACCCGTGTTTTAAAAAGGTTGAATTCATGGACACTAACCAAGTTACTCAATAACCCTTTGTTGTCTTCGCCGTTTTCAGCGCCTCAGCGCTTACTTAATGATCTACTATTTAATGCAATCCAATCAACTGTTTGCGTACACTTTTCATGTTTCAAACACTAAATGAAGTTGTGGTTATGAAACTGAGACTTAAAATCTAGGTAAGGGAGATCATAAGTTTGTGCAGAAGGTTACCGTTCCCCTTATTTAATGTAGACAATCAATCGCATTGAAGAAGGGAAGGTTGAGTCCAGATTAGTTTTTTTGTTGTATTTTGAGAGGTGCTGCACATTTCAACGGAAGTGATGTAGGCATGGTGTCTGATGAAATCACAATAGGATCAATCTTAACGCGAAGCATAAATGAAGATGTTCTTTCATTTTGTTTTGTCTTTTCTAGGTTTCGTTAAATTCCATTTAGGAAGGTTGGACACCAAAGCCCATAATCAGTTTCGATGGCCAACGTATTTTGCTAGTTTATCGAAGTCTTTTTATAACTGAAGTCATCCAGTATTAAGCATGAAGTTTCGTCGAAGTATGAAACATCAAACACTTCACGGAAGTGCTCCAGAATTTTAGCACCAGAATTTGCTCATCCGGCAATGATTGAGCCTGTCTCACACATTTCACTAGTTTGGATTACTACGAACAAATAAGCGAGAAAAAAAGCGATTGCTGTTGGGGAGAAATAAGTTTGACTGACCACGGATTCGCACATCCATTTAACCTTCAGTTGCAAAGTATAGGCCTTGGTGGCACTGCATTTGTTGACGCTTTGACAGTCCCAGTGAAAGTCCAAAAGTTCATCAAGGCCCTTAGCTTCTGCTGCCTTTAATTTAATCCGATTTCTTTACCATTCGGTGCTAAGTCCCAATTCAATTCATGTAATGCGCATTGGTAATAATTTTATTTCTTTTAAATACCATTTTTTAATAAAATGTGCCATAAGTGTTTTCCTAAAGATTTATTGTACTAACTGCCTGTTGACTACATTATATGTAGATTAAACGTACATTCACATGCATAAACATAATAGTTCTAGATTTCGAAACACAAACTGGCGTTTCCGAACTAGTATTTAGTATTGTTTAATTTTGCTGTGTGAAATGACTGTCATAACACAGCACTTACCTCTATTTAATTTTTGTGTTTTTATCGAGAAAGCTCAACTAATTTAACAGATTGCTGATTTGCGGTCAAATGAAACATTACTTTTAAATCTACACCGCTCGGGAACTTCATACCCGACCATCTTTAAAACAAATTTTAATGCGAAACAAGAAGAACGTGTCTGAGGTAAAACTGCCAATTTATTAATAATTTCGTGGAAAGTTCAATACTCCTTTCAATCCAAACGGTTAAGTCTTACCTTTTGGTAGCTTTCGGCATTTTTTGCTACGTTTGGAGGGGGCTTTGATCGGGCCTAAATCATTGCGATTTTGCATCGTTTTCTACTAGACGTCATTTTAGTTCGTTCAAACTAACCTTGATAAATTTAAATTAAGCAGACAATGTACTGTCAAATCATCAATGACGATAATGGTGACGGTTAGATTTTACAGCAGAGCAAATATACACATTGACAAAGCATTTCTACCAAAAGTAAAAGACTACTTATAGCAAGCTAGCGAGCCGTCAAAGAATCCACTTGTAGGCAGGTGATAGACCTTTTTAAAAATCAAAAGCTAACTATGCATTGGCTTTGTTTTGTTTCAGCGCCATGCGACAGCCTCGGAGTAACATGAAAACATGGACCTTCCCAAAATCACTAATTACCATCCATGTTTGGCCGCAAAAAACAAACAAACAAAGTTCCTCAGAAAACAAATTGTTGTGCGAAAACATTGTTCCGTGAGGATAAAAGTACACTTTCTTATTGCTTTTTCCTGCACGAAAACATTTGCGTGAAAGCTATAGTACATCGCTAACCAAATTCTGCGTTGCGACTTTACGTACACCCACTTGAATGCTTTTCATTTCATGAAAGATTAACCGCAAAACCAATTTTACTATTGCGATGGGTTTCCAACTACTAAACAGCGGAAGACAGGAAGTGAATAGATCTAATATTAACGTTTATTCAAAGCTTTTTGTCAGGATACCTTTGGTGATTATTAGTTGGTATTTCGTACCAATCACCTTTACTCGTGTTCTCGTGTATTTACCGTAGTAGACTAAGACGTCTAGAACAGCTATTGATGTTCCATCATCAAACTAAAAAACACATCAGTACCAATTGTTTTGGAATGTAGCGTTTCTGGATTTAATGAAATAAGTTTTGGGTTCTGTAAAATGAAACCAGGATTTTTCTTGGGTGGCTATCAATAATTAAGCCACCATTAAAACGAATCGTTCAAGAGTATGTGATTTTGTGTACCCAAAGTGCAAGTCACTTAGGTATCATTGTAAAATTGTTTCGTCCCTGGGACGCGTTGAAATGCGAGAACAGAGATAATTTTAGCTTTTTATGGGCAGTCACATAGTTTACTTGAAACGCTGTGCACAAAAAGGATTTAAGTTTGTGTGTCTGACTCAGGACCTGCAGCAAGAAGCAGTCAACTTGTGTGATTCAGGCCACTGAATGGCTAAAAGCAAGTAGTCTCACAGAAAGTGCACACTGGTCATTGCATTCTGCCTTGTCACCCCATTTTGCAGCGTCGTCTCCTCAACCGGCCCTTGACGTCTGCTCTGCCTGTCAAACTCACATGAACACTTCAACCAAAATAATTCATAGGGCGTAGACTAAGCCGTAATTAAACAAACTCTTCCATTAACTGTGACATTCTGAATCCATCACTGCCATGCATAACGGGCATGTGAGATTGGAGCGAAAACGGTGTGCAAAATATTGTACTTATTCTTATTTATTCATCTTCGTCTTTTGCAGGACATTTTGAAAATTATCGCATTACAAGTTCCTAGTTTGTAAGCGATCATTTGTGAGAGTATTTGTGAGTGTTCGGAAGACTTGATGACTGAATGCAGCCTTGATTACTTGAGAAGCATTCATCAGCTGTAGCATCACATAATGGTATTCAGTTGGGCTTTAGTAAATTCTAAGGACATCAATTGTAAAAATCTGCCTACCAATGGATGCGTAAAATCACGTCAGTAGGTCGACCTCTTTTAAATTAATGTGATTTTTGAAATAGGATTGTAGTAGTTGTTGTAGAGATGAGAGAACCCGCCCCAGTAGTCTTGCAGTGGTTACAGTCAAACGCGGCTTGGCGTGAAATGCCCATGCATACTCCGAAACTACGTGAAATGCGCAGAAAGATGCGCAGCTGCAAAAACCCCATGAAAAAATACTGGTTTTCTCACCCTGTCTTAAACCATCACAAACAGCAATATGGCAACCAAGTTAAATGATTGCAACAAACCATTTCAAATCAGATATGTGCCTTAGTTTAATCATACATATTTGTTCCTGTCAAAACCAACTTTGAGAAGCCTAGCTAGCAATTCATGAAGTCGGCTTTGCTTTGAATGGGACCAAGGTTCTTAAACCACTTACAGCAATATCATCAATTCAAAGGAATTTTTAATAACTCAGGGGATAGGCGAAATACGAGAAAAGCGTTTGCATGGCTACTAAATCTTTTGCGACTACCGTAGCATGCATCAAATGTCCTCCCAACAAACACCCTTCGTTAGATTTCCTTGTAATCGAAAGAGCATTCACATAAAACTTATTTAGGAAGTTCTCAGTAAAAATATTTCCCTGTTGCGAACAGATTAAGCGCCATCAGCGCATTCGTGAAGCACAGCAAAATGAGGGAGTAGTCCTGAGTTGGACTGGATGGATTCCGAAGCATAATAGAGGCGGACTTCGATGTGTCCATGTGATTAGAATGTATAATGGGAAACCATACATGTTATCCATTATTTTGCGCTTGGCCAGCCTTGCTGATAATACAAAGCGGTCAAATGCTAGCGCTTTTTCCTTACTTAATCTTATGGGCCAAAGGATATATTATTGGCCATTGTTCTGCGATCTGTCACAAAGCTTCGACCTTATTTTTATTAATACAAAAGAGTCAATAAATTGTACTTGTTAGAATAAAAACAGTTAAGTTGGCCATTCATGTGGCTTCTGGTGAGTGACCGCTTAGTACCTAAGCCACCATCTTTCTCAACCAAATTACAACTATAAATTGAAACAAGCAACTTTAATTAAGAAACTAGGCATAAGGTGGAACTTTTGGGGCGCGAATATAAGAGGGAGTCAAAGGTTATTCTGGTGGTAGGCAGTTCTAAAACCAGGGTATCACTCGCCTTGACTCGCTATGTGCATCTGCATCGGAAGACAGAAGGTTCCTTCTTTATTGTATACCGCATAGAACAAACACAGGGAATGGATACGATTTTACCAAGAGTTCCTTGCAAAAGCGGTACGAAAGAAGAAATTGGGAAGAAGGGAAAAGTCAACCGTAAAATTTTGTCTTCGTCTACAGATGAAGGTGGCAGGCACTACAGGCATTGTTTTCTTTGTCATACATAGTTCCGTTTCAGACCAGTATTTTTTGCTAGGGGACTGAGCTTGGTGCAATCTGTTGTAGCATAAAAGGAAGTATCAGTTGGTTGCTCATTGAAACTCGCAGCAAATTCAGAGAAAGGCACCCCATTTGGGTTTTGATCATGACCACTACTAGAGCTTTCCCGGTCTGGATTTGTTGGACCCCGATTTCTCAGAGCTGCACGAATGTAACGAAGCTCCTCCAACTCCATCTCATTAGGTTCTTCCCACTCCAGCCGCATTATGCTTCCGGATGTGTGTATCTCAGAGGAAGGAATTAAATTTAGCAATCCATCAGTAGCCAAAGGATGCAGCATGCTTGTTCGGCGATCAGACACGGGGTCTGGAGACTGTCCAATGCTCTGCCTGTGGTCCCCCGATTCACCAGGAGAGGCCCGCTCCAGGGTCGTAGTTCTGGTGTTGTCTCCAAAGTTATTGGCTTCGCGTTCGACTAACCTGCTTCCTGAGTTACTAAGCAAGCTCTTCTTCAGGTTACTGACAGGCTCATTCTCTGAAATATTCTTCTTTCTAATTGGAGAGACCATAGGCCTTGGTCTTCTGCGTCCCTCTTCCCTTTTTGCAGCATTGGAGTTAACTGTGCGATTACTCACAGCGTACTGCTTATCAGCCCGAAATTGCCTGTACTTTCTATGAAGCATCGGAATGCCGGTCTTCTCCGCAAAGCCTCCTAAGCCCTTCATTATATTATTTCCACCAACAGAGTTAATATCTCGCCTTAGCTCCTTCAGGTACTTATCTTCCTTAAGTTGGTTCTTCATGTACATATAATAAGTGTTAAAATTATTCCCGATGATAGGAATGGCAAGGCCAGTCACGACGCAACCTGAGATAGCAGCCATTGAGCCGACAATGTAGCCCGCCGTGCCTTTCGGATAAGTGTCCCCATACCCCACTGTTGTCAGTGTTATGATGGACCACCAAAAGGCCTCAGGAATGTCCGCGAATGTGTCGTTGACGCTGTATTCAGCCATGTAGATCATACAGGAGAACATGAACATGCCATTCATGAGCAAAAACGCAAGCAGCATTAATTCAGGGATGGACTTTTTCACAGTCAACATTAAAACTCGAAGACCACGAGAAATCTTTGATACCTTGAAAATCCTTAATATTCGCATAATCTGTATCATTGAGAGGATATTCAGCAGCCAAAGGTTGTTAGGAGGTCTGACAAGGTCAAGTGTGGTGACGCCTTGTTTCTTGTGGTAGTATGTAAAGTAGAAAACACTGATGTAGATCCAATAAGTGACTAGGTTGACCATGTCTATTATCGAGACAATTGACGTAAGGAATTTGTGTTTATCTGGGGCTAGAAGAACTTTAAGGAGGAACTCCGTGGTGAGAACGACGTTCAGCGCCATGTCAAGGATCACCAGGCCTGGAGCGGGCTCCGTAAAACAATCCTTTTGTACCTTGGAGTTCGTTACTCTTGCAGGGTCATCACAAATTTCTAGGGGGTCATCGATGAGATTTGAGATATTTATAAGACCTGAGTATTTTGACTGAGCCCGCAAATTATTGGCTGCCCAGGCTGACTGGCGAAAAATCCACGAGGTAGAGAAGCAAAAGCAGAGGACTGAGGCGATCATCAGAATCAGCAAGAAGGATGCCCATATCTAGAAAAGAGAAGGACCAATAAGCATGCCGTCTGAGTAGAGCAGTCACACTTTAAAGATGTTTGGGTAGAATAAGAGCAGGTCAAAGGGCCTTTGCTTAGCAAACCCTTAGCTCGCATGAAGTTTACGTCCTTGATGACGGTATTACCACCAAATGCATCAACAACTCTTCATGGCAATACCCTCTCATCTGAGCAAAATGTTTGTCGAAAAGCTTGGAATGCGGTCCATATTTTAACTTATTTAAAGCCGTAGATGCACAAACTTCAAACTTTTACGGATGTGGCTCAAAATGTTCGTAGCAAAAACTTTCGTATGCCCTCCTTGGTGGCCAAAATGTGCCCTTCTTTTGTCTTCAGCAGATATAAACCTAATAAGATTTACGCTGTAGTTTGATGTAAATGATTTCAGATGTGTACACGGAAAACCCACTTAGGTGAAAACACGGAGCTGTAAGTGCCGCGCAAAAAAACTTGGGGTTTCCTAATTTAAGTAAAACTTTTAAATAGAACAAGTGGCTCTGAACAAAAGTATCAACTTGTGGCAGACATTTTTCCCAAAAGCATCTCGTAAACAATCCGCAAAGTGCCTACCAAAACCTTTTTTCTTTAACGTTCCTGTGTAAGGTGGCTCTAGAGTCTCGATATTAGAATGTGCTAAAATGTTAACAGCAACAATTACACCTTAGTATCGGGAATTTAGGTGCATTTAGATATTAGAAGGTCGGGGAACAGGTGGGATTTAAAGGCGTATATTACAATTTGTATTTAATTGTGCCAGAAAAATATGGTAACTAGCAAATCTACTGGTTAGATCCATGCTGTGTGCTATGTCACGAAAAAGCTATCTCGAACCGAACTGAAGGCGATCATCCCATTTATTCTGATGACAATTAACTGAATTGTGTTCAACATATGTTCTCAGATCAGAGTAAGGTTTGAAGTTACCATCATTCGCTGACAATAGAACCATAGCATGTCACGTTGGTTCCGCATTCTTTGGGTGGAAACAAAGAATTCGTTCTATGTTTACAGTCGGATCGCCAGCTCGTCATGGGCCTACTTTGTTGCACAAAGATTTCTTTACCTAATTACAACCTGAGTAGAGACGTAGTGTTTTTAAGTCAATTTAGAATCGTTAAAAACGCTGACTTGATTCAAGAAAACGCTCAGCATTTGGAATAAAACTGGAGTAAACTCATCGGAAGGAAATGGTGTGGGCGGTAGGATCGTGAAGGCGTCAATCATTGTTGGCTTCTGGCGAATAACGAAGCAGACTCCACGATCAATAAATGTTTCTACTTAACAAACTGACACATGAAAAGCGACCTCAAAGACGACGTTATGGTGTCCTTTTGCATCACAATAAGGCTCTTCCTCACACGGACAAATGGATAAAACCGACGATCTAAGGTCTGCATTGGAAAGTCATGCCACGTTGTATGGACTTGGCTCTGTCACATTTGCATCTGATTCGACCATTAGCCCCGTTTGCTCGGAGCTGACAATGAATTTACAACGTGGTTAGACGACCTTTTAAGTTCGGATTTAAATAATTTTATTGCAGAAGCATAGAACAACCACTTGACAACAAAGAAGTAATAAATGCCGAAGGAAGCCACATTCAAGATTATTTAACATCCTATTATCAAGTAAGAATTTATTTTATTCTACAAAGTGAACAGATTCAAAAAACCCTTTTAATGAAATTTTCCTCAGACTAATAATTTACCAACTTCAGGAGCAGAACGAGTGTAAAAGCTTCATGAAATGTCGAACTTCTGTTCAACAGCATTTCCCTTCTACGACCGTCAGGTTTTTACTTTCTATCGAGTTGTAATTTGAACACTCTGCCCGCAACAAAAAGTAGCTTTGATTCACTTGCAAGTTGTTTTTAATTAAGAAAAATGGATACTTGATGCCACATGTTTTTGCCATTTTCGAAGCACGAACATACCCTCTTTTTGACAAGGTTACAAAAATTTATTGGCACCATGCGTTTAAATACTACTTGTTATAACGATTTCCTGTGGACTAACTTCATCGGAATTCACTCTACTGTACAGTTTGAGCTTGTGCTTTCGACAAAATTATGCTACCAAAATGTAAATACGCTGTTTTCGAGTGAGCCTAAATAAACGGTGCCTTCTAAGGTTGTTTCAATAAAAATATTGATGAGGCTCAGTGTTAAATTTGGTTTCACTGAAAATGAAAACGACCAAACAAATAACTTTGCACGCATGCTTACAAATAACTCAGAATTAACGTTTGCATTCTGGGGTCAATTATAAGTGATTAAAAACGTTGCGTGTGTCAAACAGACGTATGTTGAAAATTTACGGTTTCGATGTGGTGACTGATTACTCTAGCTGCTTTACCCGAAACCGTCTGATCTTTCGCGTGAGTTGATAATATAAGTATTAAATACCTTTAAAGGGAGAGAGCAATATTTACTAATTAGATTTATTAAGCAAACACCTATGGGATTAGGGATTTATTTTTTAGGCTACCATGACACATTTGTGTTGTTCTGCATTAACATTCGACTGGTAGGGGTTCTATGCATTCTCTCTTTTTTTTAAAAAAATATATGAACCGCAAAGCTAAATCTATGTTTGCGATATTCATTTTTGTATTGAACCTATGAATAGCTCTCACCCAAAAACTTAGGTTTTGAAAGCTAAGAACCGAACAACAGGGCGCTTTTTTTAGTTTTTTGGTTCTTTTGACAGAAAACGGCATGCATGCTTTCATCGCACAGGTTGAATTACTCTAAATGCAGAGCCTTCAGCTTGTAAAGCAATTACAAAGACCAAGAGTTGGCCTAAATGCGTGTCAATTTATAAAATGACAATGATAATTATACGAAAAATCCGAGTTTACTCTCCATACCCGTGTGGTATAATTGCGAAACTCGAGTTCTTTGATGTTAACTATTGTATTAACTTGAAAATGATTCATGCTTTATCCTTATATAGGACAATAGGGAGGATATTCATTGTAACTGTTATATACTTGTGCTGGAATTTTCTCTGGTTACTTGACAAGAATAATGTAATCATAAAATCAGGATCCGAATGAAAATCAGCATTATGACACCTTAATAAATGCCAACGTTTGTAGTTCCCTTCTCTTCGAAAATCAATCCTGCAAGGACTTCAAATGTAGAATGTGAAAGAAAATACCGTTGCTAGACAAATTAGATTGTCATTACCTTCCAACGACGCATGATTACACGGCCTGGGAGGGCGTGACAGTCTAGACTACAGGTGGCAGCTGCGATAAATTCCCGAGGCGTGGCAATTAAGAGACCACACCACACACCTCCAAGTTGTGAATTGTGGAAAGCGTATCCCGGGAAGATTAATCCTTTTAGGTGCCTTAGTGCTTGAGTTTAATGAACAATGCCGGTTTTTTTTCAACCCAAAAAGAACGTAGTGCAGTCACAAACGTAAACAAATTATTTTATGCACCAAAACTAGTTTGTTGAAGGTTCGATAAAGTTGTAAGTCACCCTTTTAGGTAACAGGTAAAAATGAATGGCTTGGTGCAATAAAATATCCGCTTGAAATTCATATGCAAAGAAAAAAAGGTAGAAATCTTCGGCAGGCGCACGAATGCACCGTAGTGGACAAACAGCTGCAAACGCAGCACGTCCTTGAAGCTTTTTATGCATATTAAACGCATCTTTTTCAGATACCCGACAAGAAATACAGGTCGCTATTGTTAGTTAGCACGCAACACCACCCTGAGTCATGATTTCATTCTCGTTGGTCTCAACCTGGCTCTCTCGACTGTTTCGGACACCTCAATCTTTTTCCAATAATTAGGTTACAAAATACAGCTGGAGAAGATGATTGTATTGCCAACTGGCCGAAAGTAACCCTTTGCATCGGCAATGGGCCAGTCACCAAAGCAAGAAGACCAAAAATCAAACAAAGTTGAGAAGGACCTTTCAAAAATCCAGCTTAAAGAAAAAGGTGTCGCAACCTTCTCAACCACAGTTCACGCATAACCGGTTCCTGTGTTTACTCGCTCTTGGGGACTCCCTGCTGAGCCACTTGATCCCATCTTCGTATCCCCATATCGATGAATTTCAATTTTTACCTCGGACTATCCTCGCAGATCCTATATTTTAAGACACGAATAGCACACGCACCCTCCTGCTCACACCTATGAACACGATTTACCGTTAGAATTTCACCGTCTGTTGTTTCTTTATCCTCCTTCGGATATTTCAGGTTGTTTCTTGCCGCGATCATTAGTATTGTTAATCCCAAAATTAAGTAGAGTGGCGAACCGAATCGGTCGAGGTGTAAGTTAGACCCTTCTTACACACTTGCATCGGCAACGTCTACGGAATGTAGACTACATAATGCTTCGTAATTTAATGGACAGTGACTTTGCTGTGAACAATAGAAATTGAATGTTGCAACTAACCAGCAGATGAAGTAACAAAATTGTTAAATCTTGATTATACCTCTTCTGACTCATTTATTAGGACTACAGTAACAGCGATATGATGTGTTACTTTCAAGATTCAGCAAACTTTTATTTAGAAAATCCCGAGCGCAGCACAAAAGAATCAGAATTTCCACAACCCCTTTTAGTGGAGTCTGCGGCACAATGCTTTGTTCGTGCCAAGTGTTTGGTCATGACGACACGTGTTACTTACTGCTTAGAAGTAAGGCGCAAATTCTCCTTTAGCTTAGTCATTAGCAATTTTCCCAAAATTATGTATTGGCTATTAAACTTGGCCACATATGTCTTCGTTTCCAAATACTTTTTCCTTTAAAATAACTCATCTACAAAACAAAAATTACCTAGATTGCTACTCTGCTTATGATCACGCAACCATCAAATTCAAGCGGACGCATGATTATTAAAGTAGGAAATAGTAAGTAGTTAAGACAAAGTTCGGTGGTACTAACTCGGCCATCTTATGCAATTATTTTATCGGAAACAATTTAAAAC